AAGAAGATGGTGCCGGAAATGTGAACTGTGTGCAACTAGTAATGGTCCAGTTGGTAAAAAGAGGGCACCCATGAAACAGTACAATGTTGGTAGTCCTATGGAGAGAGTAGCAATCGACATTGCAGGTCCACTTCCAGAGACAAATGATGGAAATAAATATATCCTGGTAGCCATGGATTATTTTACGAAATGGACTGAGGCCTATGCGATACCAAATCAAGAAGCTGCTACCGTTGCAGAGGTACTTGTTAAAGAATTCTTTAGCCGATTTGGTGTTCCCTTGGAGATCCACTCCGACCAAGGGCGAAACTTCGAGTCAAACCTTTTCCAAAACGTTTGTAAATTGATTGGTGTCAATAAGACCAGAACGACACCCCTGCATCCTCAATCAGATGGAATGGTCGAGAGGATGAACCGAACGATGGGTAAACACCTGTCCAAAGTTGTATCAAAACATCAAAGAGATTGGGATCAGCACATTCATTTATTCTTAATGGCATACCGCTCGGCCGTGAATGAAACTACAGGCCAGACTCCAACCTGCCTGATGTTAGGTCGTGAAGTTCGTTTGCCCTGCGACCTAGAGTTTGGCTGCAGACCTTCCGAAGAACATGTTGCAAGCGAAGATTATGTCGATCGTCTGAAGTTAAGAATGAACAGCATTCATGAACTTGCCCGACAACACATCCAGTTAGCCAGTGACAGAATGAAAGATCAATACGATTCTCGATGCAAGAATGAAAGCTATGAAGTAGGTGATCTTGTTTGGCTTTATAATCCACAACGTCGTCGTGGCTTGTCTCCTAAACTGCAAAGACAATGGGAGGGTCCGTATGAAATTAAAAAGAGAATAAATGACGTAATATACCGAATTAAAAAGTTACCGAAAGGTAAACCAAAAGTAGTTCACATAAATCGGCTTGCACCTTATGCTGGCTCAAATGAAACAGAAGAAGCACGAATCCTTCAACATGAGATCAAAGATAAACGGCGACCAAGCTTTAAGGAGTTTATGTCAAATTACGCAGAGAGAAAGAATGCTAGATTCGGCGTGACGACAGAAGTTCAGCAGGATCTTTTTAGTGTTCCGCATAACGTCTCTCTAGCCCACTGTGTTGCCCAAGATCTTGAGATGACTAAAGGAATCTCATCTGTATTTTATAAGAAGTTCGGTCGTTTGGACGAGTTAAAAAACCAGCAGCCTAAAGTTGGAAGAGTACTGAGATTAGAAGATGGTTCTCGATCTTTGCTGTATATGGTGACCAGGAAGTCGTATACAGACAGGGCAACCTACGAGGATATATGGTGTGCTCTAACTAATTTGAAGAAAATCGTCTGCAATTACGACATTAAGAATTTGGCCTTACCCAAGATAGGCCATGCACTAGATAATCTGGATTGGAAGATTGTCAGAAGCATGCTAGAAGTGATCTTCCGAGAAACCGGTGTAAGAATTACCGTGTGTTGCACTAATCCAAAGAGATTGTGTCCTTCAAAGACAGTAGACTGTTATTTCTTTCTGAGGGGTTCATGCAGAGCTGGAGAGTCCTGTAGATTCCGCCATCCTGGGCCTACATATAGAGTTGCTGATCGGGACGCTCAGATCTAAGAGGGGAGCAGTGTTACGAACGTGCATTTAACGAGGCACGTATAACGGTTGCATCTCGAAACAGCACCTCATGCTTCCATGCGGCGGCATCTCGAAAGCGACTCGATATTTCGAGAAAGATCTGTCGCGTTCGCCTAGAGGTGGGAACTTTCTAGAAAATAGTAACTTTAGTATATATATGTAACGATCTTAGGAATAAGTTTAGTTGATAAGAGAATACCGAACTGTAAAGTTATAAATAAATATATTTATATAAATTCGAACCGCTCGTTTTATTTAAAACACGCTACAATATTAATGGACGAAATAATACAAGCAGTACGTAAAAGTCATGGCTACAGAATGGGAACAAAGAAATCCAAATATTATGTTATGCAGACGAGGCCGCATTAATCGCCGAGACAGAAGACGAGCTCCAAAGATTAACACATATCTTCAATACAACAGCTAAGAAATACAATATGATAATATCAGCAGACAAAACCAAATGTATGACAACATCTAAATACCCACTATGGTGTAAAATCGAAATTGATGGAAAATAATAAAGCAGAAAGCAAGGTTTAGATATCTGGGAATATATATAACTGGTTACGGAGATGTTGAAAAAGAAGTACGACGACAAAGCTTAAAAGCAAGTAAAGCGGCAAAGTTCTTTTAATGACACAATTTGGAACAACAAACACCTAAGACAAGGCACAAAAACAAGAATTTATAAAGCAGGAATTAGACCTATATTAGAGAAGTCTGTTGGATAGGGGAGAGAAGCGAAAAACATAAGAAGAGCATGCAGTATAGAAGACATAATTGGATGGATGAGATAAGTCACCAAATGGACGAAGAAGTATTGGCAGACCAATAAAAAGAATGGTGCGACGATTTAAACAATTTAGGAGGCTAATATTGAAGAAGAAACAGGCTTGTTTGAAAAGCTTCAAAATGTCACTTGTTTCGACGAGAAGTGAAATACTTTTGACATATTGTAGCAAGTAATGTGTGTAACAGCAGATCCTGAAAAACTTGCAGCAATTAAGGATTGGTCAGTACCAAGAGATAAACACGAAATTAGAAGTTTTCTTGGTCTATGTACATATTACCGACGTTTTGTCAAAGGATTTGCCAACATCTCCAAGCCATTAACAAAGTTGACAGAAGAAGGCAAAGAATATACATGGAGCAAGAGTGTCAAAAAGCTTTCAAATCATTACAAATGGCTGCAACAGTGCAATAGGAGCTGTTCTCTCTCAAATCCAAGATGAATAGGAGAAAGTCATCGCTTACTTTAGCAAAGTCTTGTCGAACCAGAAAGAAACTATTGCGTTACCAGGAGAAAATTTGCTAGGCGTAGTGAAGCTTACGAGCATTTTCATAAATACTTGCATGGTAGAAAGTTTCTTCTTCGCACGGATCACGCCGCTCTAAAAATGGCTCCTACAATCCGTAATTCAGAAGGCCAGATGGCAAGATGGTTAGAACGATTACAAGAATATGATTATAGATAGAACACAGGGCTGGGAAGAGTTCATTTAAATACTGATGCCCTTTCGAGACGGCCATGCAGTGCAAATTGTAATCACTCTCTTAAATTAGAAGAACGACTTGTCCCGTGAGACTAACCACCGTCGTTAATGATCAGTGGCAGCCTCAACAGCTACAAGACGCTCAAGCAGATGATCCATGTATAAAAAGAGTATTGGATTGGATGCGTCGAAGTGAAAGACCTTCTTGGCAAGACATTAGTGCATGTAGTCTAAAAGTCAAGTGTTACTGGATCCAATAGAATTGCCTAGTGATAAAAGATGATCTTCTGTATAGAACCTTCGAGAACGATGATGGTACAGACACTAAGCTCCAGTTGATTGTACCCAAAAGTAAAGTGTCAGAAGTATTGCGTCAGTTGCATAACGGTGCATCAGGTGGACAAAGTTATCTATCATCAAGATGGCGGCGGCTACGTAGGAATATTTTTTAAGGTTTCCCAAGCTTGGAAATTTTCCGAAACTAAAGGAAGCATTTTTTAAACCCGATGATATTATAAAGACAGTTTTCTGTATGGATAAACGTAAATACCTCGTATCGGTTTAAAAACAGGTTTAGTTTTAACAATGATCTTAGTGATTGTTGTTTATATTTGCCAACCTTAAAAGTGTATTTTTCATTTCAACAATAAATTTTTCCAATAAAACAAATTTTATATTTATGAGTTACTTTACACCTTATACACTTTTTACCTGTCCCTATTGACCCTAAAAATGTATAAATAGGAACACAATAGTTTTTCATACTGTTGTTCCTATTCACCCTACTTGGTGGGGTAGTGAATAGACACACCAGGTTTTTAATTTTTTTGTGATTAGAGTATTAACTTTATAATTTTTTAACACCTTAATATTTAAAGAGGAAGGTAAGACCCAAATAACAATGCATAAGTTTTATGTTTGCAACATGTGTTAGTGGCTTTTTTTAGTTGAACGTTGGAAACCGTTCCTATTATTATTCCATTTTACGGTACAGGTTACATAATTATATATGTATTTTAAAAATACTGTTACGATAAATTCTGACCAAAAACCGTTAACATATTTATTACTAATACCTAAAGCCTAATTACTAACCTAACCTAACCTACCTGACAGACGATGGGTTCCCCTCCGCTATAAAAACAACAATCGAACTTTCTGGAGACGAGCCGATGACAAAAATACCAGTTTTGAGACCAGTCGCTGCTCTATCTACTCGAGAATGCCATCGAACCTTCGACAATGTTTCATTTTAACACATGATTTCATATAAATAACGGGGATTTTCATTGAAGGAGTCAGTCAAAAGAAAATCACGATCGCGTTTTAAAATGTAACGCACGTATATATAAATTAAATAATTATTAGTCAAATAAATTGTTGTACAGTGGTTTAATAAATTGATATAAATTAGCGTGTTTTAGTAAATTAAAATAAGAACAATAAATTAGAATTAATAAAGACTTTACAATACCAAAGAATATAATGCATCTATATTCATTGATAATGCCAAAGAATTTGAAAATACTATCGTATAATATTCATAGCCACGGATTAAGCCTTCAACTGTGGCCAGGAGGATTCGTCCTCGAGGTAACACTCGAGATATAAAATACTCTTAAGAGTTTTCAGAATGCAGGACACAAAGTTTTTAATATCTAATTTAAAATTTTGAGTAATGGTATGTATGAATAATTAAATGTATAGTTAATTGTGGTTTATTCCCATTACATAAAGTAGAAAATATAAAATATGCCACAAACAGAAATCAATGTTTAAACCCAGGCTGTGATGGCTTTTTAAATGAGGCAACTGACAAGAAAAAAAGAAGAAGAAATTCATACATATTCATTTAAAGGTTAAGGTAAGGTGGTGGAGTTGTCAAGTTTGTTGTCCACTGTTTAATTTAACCTGCATACGTGTCTCATAATTTTAAACATATTCTTCAAGAAGTTCTGTGAAAATGGCACCGAAAGTAAACGTAAAAGAAAGATTTAATGATGGTGAAGTGGATCTTAGCATGTCCGATTTAAGTGAAGTTCCGGTAAAAGAAATTTTGAGCTTAAAACCAGTTCACAGTTTAGACTTATCTAACAATACTTTAACTGTGTTACCTAAAAATTTTACTTCATTAACACATTTAACAATATTGGATTTGAGTAAAAACGATCTTAAAGAGTTGCCAGAAGATTTTGGTAATTTGATAAAATTGAGACATTTGGATTTATACAGAAATCAATTGCAGCATCTGCCATTAAGTTTTAGCAAGCTTAAAAATCTTAAATGGCTTGATTTAAAAGATAATCCTTTAGTTCCTGCTGTAGCTAAGGTAGCAGGTTTGTGTATTAATACAAAAGAATGTCAGAACTGTGCAAAGAATATTGTAGCCTTTTTCAACAAATTAGAGAACCAAGTATCAGCTGATCTGGAAATGAGAAACAAAGATCGACAGAAACAATTGGAGTTCAATCAAAAAAAGAAACAAGAAGAGAAGAATATTAAGAAGAAAGAAAAACAGAAAGAAAAAAAATCCAATGTGAAAGTTGTTGAACCTACTAAGCAGAATCAAAAAGTAAGCAATAAGGGAAAAAACAAGAAGGTCAAAGAGGAAGATTCTATTGTTGGCTCAATTTTATCCAGCATATTGGGCTGGGCAGTTCTTATGTTTGTACTTTATGTAGGTTTTATTTTTTACAAAGTGTATGGTTCTAAAAATGTTTTAGATTCAGCTAGGGATGTTTTTATTAAAGATTTAAATAAACTTTATGATGATGCTCCTATTTGGTGGTTATCATCAAAAGAATATCTACAAAATTTGTACAAAAACATTACAACTAGATAGTATTTTTAATTTGTTAAATTAGGGCATATTATTATCATTAATATATACATATTTCATTTAAAGATAACTGTACAATACAGATATTTAAGTGTATAGTTCTAAAATGTGTTTGTAATAAAACCCCAAAAATAGACAGTATCATTCCTTTTGTGGTGTCTAAAATAATATGCAATGTATTAAATTTTGTATACATGTAATTTATATTTGTGTATGTAAATAAATATATTTTGAATTAGATCTTGCCTGTATAGTACTTTATCTTTATAATTGTCTTTGCTTTTTTAGTATGTGGTGTCTTCTGTATGTAGCAAAAAGAGGATGATGATAATTGTGATGAGAGTACAATATCATTTAGAACATGACATTTAAACTAATTTTGTAACTGTTTTTGGATTGCTTCACATTATTTTTCATAAACACTCTTTGTTTAAATGAGACATTTAGTTGTCAACCATGAAAGAAATACACTTCTGTTTGTAGCTCTTTTGGAAAGGTACAGCATTTCTTCATGAAGTGTACATTTTGTAGTTGTACATAGAAGATAAATTTAATGAAGCTCTACATCAAAAACTTTCTCCCATTGCTCAGCTTAAATGTTTAGATTTTAAAACAATTCAAAATTGTTTTACAAATTAATTCCATTAAATATGAAGAGTGTAAATCAAAACTTGCTTTCTCCTTCATGACCGATATTTAGTTATTTATATTTTATAAAGTTATAGTTATTCAGAACTAGTTTGATTCAAAACTAGGTTTATCCAATATAAATTAAATATTGAAAGAATAATTTTTAACCAAACCCCTCTTTCTGCTATGACAATTCTATGAACTAGAGGAGGCTTGTAAAGTGTGTGGACAGGGCTCATTAATATTTAATGACTTCTTTTGATTGATGCAATGTCTGTTTACTTTAATCAGCTATAAACTTTTAATAATTATTACAGTAGAGTGTCGATAGTCTGAGCTAATTGGTACAGGGGTAGTTCAGATTATCAAATTGTACAGATTATCGAACATATCGTCGGTATACTGCGAAAACCAGGTAAATGAAAAATTTTACAAAATTGAGTTAAGTATACCAAAATTCTCAGCTTTTTGCGCTCTACATACAGGTAAAATCCAATAAATGATACGACTTACCGTTGAGCAGATAATTTGTGTAATAAACAAATAAGTTACACCTGACCAACTTTTCATTTTCCAGTAAAACAATATATTGCTACTTACTTCCATAAAATTGATGTTCAGTTGCATGTAAAACTAAGTAAGCCCACATATATGATTGTCCCGGACAACAACATGTTTCTACTACTGCATACCATATTCAGTAAAAAGGTGATAAATGTCTTTAATACATTTTACATGTATAATTTAATAAAATTTCTCATTCATATCGACTAGTAAAAACTCTTAAATACATTTACTTGATTCTACCTGAAAACGGGTTGAGTGAAAATTTAGAAATGATGACTGCTAAAACCATAAATGATCTTAATGGTGTTTATGATATAATTTTTATCTGCTGATATCTGCTGTGCAGAGTTATTTGAGGATTCAGCAGATACGTGTTTGTATGTATAATATTAACAGACGGTTTTGAACTTGAACTTAGTAGAAAATAGTTTATACAAAGTTTAGTCTGTATTACCTATCTGTTTTGATTTTGTGTTACTAAAAATTATAAAACAAAGAAACAATGAATTCAAGAGCTAAAAGAATTTTATCCATGGTGAACAAACAATCCGAAAATGCCGTTAATGGTAAGTATTTTACAAATTATATACAATATATATACAATTTTATTATAAAAGTAATAAATAATACAGTGCTTCACAAAGTCAAATTGAATTGGTTGACATTTTGCTTCTAGGTAGTAAATAACACATTGTGACAAATTTACAGAGAATTTCGAATTAAAAATTTTTGTTTCTTACCTATTTATAGGGAGTTTGGAAATAAGTTTGACCGTTATATTCTTGTTGCTTTCATGTTTAATGTTTGTATTGTACTTAATAATAATTACTTATTTTTATGAATGTTTGGGCGTATGTTGTTTGCACAACTGAAGTTGTTATTATACGAGACAATTTGGTTGGGCTATCGAAAATAAGCAATATCAGCAATAATATTCATCAGTTTCGTGTGTCCACATTATGTGAACAAATCTTAAATTTCTCTTGAGAGATCGTTTTGTACATATAAATACATATTATAATCTGAACAATACATAATCATGTTCTCGATACATAAAAATCAATACAGAAAAATAGTTATATGGGTGTTCACAAATGCACATGTTTATATTAGGGAAAAAGTTAAAAGATTATTCTAAAGTTAAACAGACTATTAAATAATATTGAATATCTTCTATTTGTGACCAGGAAGACAGTTTTGAAATATTTTATTTTTATTAATAAGTATCAATTAGTTACTTGTTGTGCAATATCGTTTTTTTTTAGATTCCGTTGAAACTGAAGATATCAGTTCAATTCTTGATGATTCTCAGAACAATATAGCCTCAATGATGGAATCAATTTTGGATAGTGACTTCTCAGATGCGGACCCCACATATCAGCCAAGTGAAGAGGGATCACTTTCTCTAGTAAGTCTATTTGAATTACAAACAGCTGACCTTGATAGCCTAAATGATGAGACGAAAGAAATTATTGAAATAGGAGCACTCACGAACAATGTAGTGTCAACTGAAATAGCTAGTTGGATATTAGATCTACTTCTCGACAAAGTATGGAAAGATGTACGTCCACTAAAACGTTGGCGAAAAGCTAACCCAAAAGATTGGATGATAAATGTCGCAAAAAGGAGGCGTGCTGAGGGTTTACCTTATGAGATAAAAAAAAAGAATAGACCAGCAAAATTGCCAAAACCTGTTAATTGTTCAGAGTGTTTTTACAAATGTGCCAGTTATTTCAGCGAAGATTACAGACAAAGACTATGTCGTGATTATTGGAGCTTAGAATATATAGGCCAAAAAAATTTTCTTATTGCACGTATTAAAACGGAGCCACCAAAGAGAGTCGTTGCAGTTCGTCAAAGTTTAAAAAAACCACGTGCATTTTCCAAAAAGTGTTACTTTTCTTTGAATGGCCAAGGTATGTGACAAGTTTTTTTCTAAGACACTTTGTATATCAGCGTCGTTAATACAAGATGTTGTAAGAAAAACTGATACTCTAGGTTTTTATGCAGATACGGATAAAAGAGGCCAGCATATACCGCCAAATAAAACAAGCCATGAATCCCGAAAAATCGTGAAGGCTCATATTGAGTCTTTCCCAACCATGGCCCCACATTATATTCGCCAAAGTTCAAAGCGTAGATATTTGGACAAAGATTTGAGTATAAGAAAAATGTACCAACTTTATATAAGGTTTGTTCCTACAGAAGTTTCAAACTGTCGCCGACTGTCAGACGCATGCGCAATAATAATTTCGCCGTTCCAACAAGATTTTCTCTGATACCTTGTCAACAAAGTACACTGTTCCATGAAATATAAAACCAGTTTGAAATTAGTTCCTGACAGTTTGAAAAGTTTCCGAACTTTTTGCAAACTGGTAATCACAGACATGCGCAATTAGTCGAATTTTGATTTACTCACACCTACACTGTTTATTTTTAATTTTAAATAGGTACCTTTGTTTTGGTAATTTTGTTGTTTTAAGTACATACATAATATTGTATTTTAGTGTTTTATACTTTTGATATTATAATTTATAAAACAATGAGTGACAGTGAATATTCGTCATTATCCTCTATGAGCGACTCCAGTGATGACTTGGAAGAAATTGTATTGGAAGATAGAATTCGCCCTAAAAATAGAAACTATTTTGAAACAACTGTTTCCCAATACAATGAAACAGAGTTTAAGGAGCATTTTCGAATAAGTCGGCATGTTACTGAGTCCATAGCTGAACAGTTTCAAAATAGTGACTACTATAAAATACATGCAGGACCATATGGTAAATTGTCAGCAATGCAACAAGTTTTAATTTTTTTATGGTATATAGGCCATCAAACGGCTAGTTTTAGAGATGTTGCAGACCGCTTCAACATTACAATAAGTTCTTTGTCTAGAGTGATACGAAAAGTGACTTACTTTTTGAGCTACTGCTCAAGTCATATAATAAAATGGCCAACCGATGAAGAAAAAGTTAAAATTGAGAATGTCTTTCGTACGAATGGTTTCTTAGGTGTAATTGGGATAATTGATGGTACACATATCAAGATTGACAAACCAAAGGATGATCCAGATTCTTACATAAATAGAAAAGGATTTTATTCGATTCAGGTAATTTTCTTTACTGTACAGTAATAAAATGTATTTATTCTATGTTATGTTTTAGTTACAATTGGTATGTGACCATGAATTACAAATCAGAGACATATTTATTGGTTACCCGGGCTCTGTACATGATAGTCGAGTATTCCGCAGTTCTCCATTGTCTCAGACACTACAAGAAAAATGTGGAAATTATTATATATTAGGAGACAGTGGATATCCTGTATTGCCCAATTTATTAACACCCTTTAGAGACCGGGGGCAGTTAAGTAGGGCCCAAATAAATTATAATTCAAAACTGTGTGCTAACCGGTACTTAGTAGAGCATTGCATAGGAGTCCTCAAACAAAAATTTAGGCAGTTATACCATCTTAAATTACGCTCTATAGCTGATTGTGTACATTTAATAAGAGCAAGTTGTGTTTTGCATAATATTTCATTAAATGATGAATTTTTATATGAAAACAATCCTGCAGGCAATAATGAAGCAGCACCTGATTTACAGTTGGACAATAATGATCCTGATGATGAACCTGATGACAGAAATGGTGCTGCAGTTCGAAATCAAATTTTAAATTTGTTAGAACAATAAAAATTTTAAAATACTTTATTTTTTAATTATTATGATTTTTACAGTTAAAGTAACAAAATATTTATTCAGAAAAACAATACTATACATATAAATTAATCTTATGGATTTTCCCTAAGTTTGTTTTGCTTTTCAAGTAGTTGGTTCTGCTTCTCAAGTAATTGGTTTTGCTTCTCAAGTAATAGATTTCGCCTTTTTATCTCTTCTAGTTTTTCTCTATGAACCACTAGCTTATCCCTTTCAATACTGAGCCTTTCCTTATAATATTCTGCTCTCTCTATTCTCATATTTTCCAATATTCTATTTCTATTTAGAATTGGATGCTTTGTATTGGTATTAGGTGCAGATGTAG